AGAAGGAAAAGAAACTAACTATGAGCATACATATAGAATAGGTTAATCATCCCATACTAGTTGAAATGAGGGGAAATTGCTGAATTTCAAGACGGTAATATTCTATTGCTCACAGTATAAAAAGTGGCAGAGGAATTGAACCATTTCAAAATAAACCAACATCTAAAAAAACAGAAAATAGTAAGAGAATATTAGTAGTTATCAATCACAGATAGATTGTATTTATGATACAGGAAAGACAGATCATGGGTCAGCTATGACATTTCCTAATTGGTTGGTCTCCAAATATGTGGACTTTATCTCTCAGATTTACACTGTCAACATGGCCATTGCTGAAAATACTGGAGGTTTAATCCAATAATCCTGCAGGATGTCAAGGTTGAAGGAGGCTGGCACAGACAAATAACAGAATTAGTTACTGCATAATTCAAGAAATGATATGATTGTTTCTTTTGTTTATTTATTTATTATCACATTAAGTCTTAGCGTTTGCCAATGAAGGCAACCAATCTGGATTAACGCTTTTTCTCCCAGAATCTTAAATCTAGAAAGTCAGTGGATTGTTCTCAATTACAACTGTAAAGAATTCTATTTTGAAATCCTTCTGTACTTTTGAGGAAATAGTTTTGAGCTTGAAAATAATTGACATAATAAATATATATGTTTATCTTATTGTACAATATCTATCAATAATTCATTGTCATTAAATGTAGCATTATGCCTAGGATATTAAACATACTCAAAAATTATATACTACATCTATATACTGTAAGCTGCTGCCACCTTCTGAATAAAAACTAAAATGACTGCCTTTCTAAGGCCTACCATGAAATGGAAAGTATACAACTAAAATTAAATTTCAGCATAAAAATGTTGTTTATTCATATACTGTATATTTATTCATATAAGTTTTGTTAAATAGCGCCGAGGAAGAACCAAAGATTTGCTAGTGTGATCTGACATACTATTCATTTTGTTTTATTGGATTATTTTATTTCTACCCTGCCTTTCTATTCAACTGGGGGCCCTGAAGGCAACTAACCTTCCACAAAATGCAGAGTACTGAAGAAGAAAAAAGTCACAAATTGAAAATGAAGAGGAAGACAAGTGGAAGCATGCGACTAAGCAAAGCAAAAGGGTCAGAAGCAGAGGTGGTATTCAGCAGGTTCTGACCAGTTCTGGATAACCAGTAGCGGACATTTTGAGTAGTTCGGAGAACCGTCAAATACCCCCTCTGACTGGGGATTTTATAGTATCTTTCCCCTGCCACGCCCACCAAGCCACACCCACAGAACCAGTAGTAAAAAAATTTGAATCCCATCACTGGTCAGAGGGGAATCAGTGGTACTGATCATACTGACAGCCTATGACAGTAATGTCTAACCTTTTCAGCACCAAGTGCCTAAAGCGTGTATGCTTGTGTGCATCCCCAAAATGCAATATGGCGCATCCCCTGGGCATGCGGGCCCCCCCTGCATGTACACGCATCCCCCGCATAAGCGCATGTCCCTGTGCATGCACCTCACCCCATGCGTCCCCCATGATGCACCCCATCCCCCTGTGCATGCACGCAGGTCCCCCATGCATACACCCCCCCACATGCATGGCAGAGACTCGAAGACCAGCTGGCGCCGGGAGACATATGCACATGCACGGCGGAGCTGAGCTGGGGGTGACGGCTCACATGCCCACAGAGAGAGCTGTACGTGTCACCTCTGGCATGCATGCCATCATGGTTCACCATCACGGGCCTATGAGAAGCTGTGGTTAAGCTGTTGGATGGGGAGCAGGGAGATCAAATCCTTCCTCAGCCATTAATGCTCATTCAACGACTTTAAGCCAGTCTTTCTTTCTCAGATCAATGTACTTGGAGAGAGTGGAGATGGAGGGGATACTATGGACAACCACCTTGAACTTTTGAATGAAACTCAGAGTGCAAATTTAATAAATGGAAAAAATATTTAAATAAATCAGCAGCTGGTCTAAGGCTGTCACTGAAGATGAAAGTTGACATTCACCTGAAGAAGCCCTGCCATCTTAAGATTCAGAGAAAAGGGCAGAAGACAGCATTGCCTCCATGGGTCACGGAAATCTCCAAATCACTTTGAGAAAAAAAAAAGTGCTTGCGGTGGGTGATTTTCTGCTGAGAAGCACCAAGCCACCAAGTCATGTATGAGGTTTTACATGACTTCCACCCTTCATTCTCTTATCATGGAGGCATATATTTTATGTGAGGGGATGCGGTGGCTCAGTGGCTAAGACGCTGAGCTTGTCGATCAGAAAGGTCGGCAGTTCGGCGGTTCAAATCTCTAGCACCGCATAACGGAGTGAGCTCCTGTTACTTGTCCCAGCATCTGCCAACCTAGCAGTTTGAAAGCATGTAAAAATGCAAGTAGAAAACTTTGATGGGAAGGTAACAGCGTTCATGCACCTTCACCGTTTAGTCATGCCAGCCATATGACCAGAGAGACATCTTCAGACAGTGCTGGCTCTTTGGCTTTGTAACGAAGATGAGCACCAACCCCTAGAGTTGGAAATGACTAGCACATATATGCGAGGGGAACCTTTATATTTTATGTATTTTTGTATACAGCAGTGTTTAATAGACACGGTATTTTCAGTTACATTGATCAATACAAAGCAGTAGATGACCAACTTTGTCCTAGTAGGGACTGTTCAGACATGTGTATCCAGGTGATATTCTATAGAAGTCAAACCTATTGTGAAGTGAGCTCCTGGACCTTTGTACTTCAGATGACTACATATAATACATTAATTTTAAAAGCTATCCAAATTGGACACTTAGCAGTATTGCAGGAAGGGATCTAAAGTGCAAAAGTCCATGAGTTCAATTCCTGATACAGAATTTGAACCCCAAATAATAACATCTGGCGATACACTTTTGAACTGACTTGATATGAGAGAGGGGGGGGGAGAGGGAGAGGGAGGGAGGGAGGGAGAGAGAGAGAGAGACTGAGAGAGAGAGAGAGAGAGATGGGTGTCAATCACCATTGTGTCTGCAGTGGAAGAAAGGAGCTGAAGCTCAAGAGAAACAAGTAGAGAATAAGAGAACACTTAGTTAATTTAAATAATTTAGATCTCCAGGGCCAAAATAATGATATCCTAATGCAGGGGTCTCCAACCTTGGCAAGGTTAAGACTTGTGGACTTCAACTCCCAGAATTCCTCAGCCAGCTGAGGAATTCTGGGAGTTGAAATCCACAATCTTAAAGTTGTCGAAGTTGGAGACCCCTGTCCTAATGTACTGTAGGAAGTTAAAGAGATTATCACAAAGAAGCTGAATTTAATCTCTGAGAACTTCTGGACAACCCTGAAGTCTCGGCAGAAGGAAAACTCAGGGAGTTACAAACATGTTAGCTTGATGACTATACCATAGTCAAGATAGTTAAGCAATTTATTCACAATATATTTATGATCCTTTGAATAGGAATGCAACAATTTATAACAGCCAGCTTGGGTTTGTCAGCAAACCCATGTCATGCTAGGATAACTTTATAGGTGGTCCTCGAGTTATGACCATAATAGAATCTGCCCATTGCAGTCATAAGTCATAGCGGTCATAAAACCAGTTAGTCTAATGTGGCCAATTCAATTCTACAACTTTTGTTTTGGTTGTCAAGCAAATGCTGTTGTTGTAAGCGAGAATGTCATGGTTGTAAATGCAAATGCCACGGTTGTTAATAACAAAACTGGCCAAGGAACCACAAAATCTGCATGGCGGATTGGTCTGTGTCAGATTGTGCTCTTTACATCTACAACCACGGCATGTGATTCTCCAGAGGAAGAGTATTGTAGAGTGGGGGACAAGTTCTTATTGGGACCTGATCGTTGTGTATCTGTAATACAGGGGTCCCCAAACTTGGCAACTTTAAGACTTGTGGACTTCAATTTCCAGAATTCCTCAGCCAGAAAAGCTGGCTGGAGAATTCTGGGAGTTGAAGTCCACAAGTCTTAAAGTTGCCAAGTTTTATTTTATTTTTATTTATTTTATTTATTTTGTCAAGCGATTATAAGATCACAGGTATAAGTAAAAACATAGTTATGAATACATGGATACATATAAGAAAAATAAAAAATAAAAATAAACAATAGGACAGGGATGGTAGGCATGTTGTTGCGGTTATGCACGCCTGCTACAGACCTCTTAGGAAAGGGGTGAGGTCAATAGTAGACAGTCTAAGGTTAAAGTTTTTGGGGTTTGGGGAAGAAACCACAGAGTCAGGTAAAGTATTCCAGACATTGACCACTCTGTTGCTGAAGTCGTATTTCCTGCAATCAAGTTTGGTGCGGTTAACCTTGAGTTTGTATCTATTGTGTGCTCTTGTGTTGTTATGGTTGAAGCTGAAGTATTCATTGACAGGTAGGACATTGCAATGTATGATTTTATATACTTTTTAATATAATATAATATAATATAATATAATATAATATAATATAATATA